AGATAAAAAAAAAAAAAAAAAATACTTATATAAAGTTTTTCTTCATTATCCATTCAAGCCGTCTCCAACCGTTATTAGATAAAATATAAAGTTTTACTAAAAAAACGTTTGAAATGCATTTAGGAGGTTTTAGGGATTGCACATAGGAAATTTGTGATTTTTGAGATTACGAAAAGTATTTTAATTTTAACATGAAAATTACTCTGCACACAGACTATTCAAAACAAATACTCATTATATTCATGGACAAATCTTTATTTTATTAAAAATACTTCACTAAGAAATATGACTTTTTGTATGTAAAAGACTTTTAATATTAACTGAAAGACTGCCAAATTTCGTGAAGATATACCCAATATATTGAGAGTTACAAGTATTAAATTTATAAAGACTTTAAACGACTACAGAAGGTCATGTGACTCAGTCAAATTGACCGACCCGTGTTGGGAAAGTTAAACAAGCTTAAATACACTATTCCAAAAACATCAAAAGCTTAGCTTTCAAATGACTTCACTCTTTCCTACATACCTAATTATCCAGGTTTTATTGACACAGCTGAATAAATTTATCATCTGGGGCTCACTTTGTAAAAAAAGCTCTTTAATAAAAACACTTGCCCCACTCACCATATAATCCAAATCCTTTTGTGAAGCAGTAGCAAACCTCCTCACAACCAGCAACACCAAAAACCTTAATATCATTAGCAAATTTAAATAATTTATTGATCATTCCTTCATCTGTGTCATTAACGTAAGTCAAAAAGAGCAAAGGGCCAGTAACTGAGCCCTTGGGTATCCAGATTGTGACATTAATCCAGTTTGACTGAATTCCATTTATAACAACCCTTTGCTTTCTTCTTTCAGTTTTTCTATCCAATGACTCAACCTTTCCTACACATCTACAGACATAACTTTTAAACAAGCCTCTTATATAAATGTCAAATGCTTTCTGAAAATCCATATACACCAAATCCACACCCTTACCCTCATCTATATAAGCAGTAACTCCTTCAAAGAATGTCAAAAGATTAGTAAAGCAAGATTTTCCTCTAGTAAAGCCATTACATTAGTTTTTCCTTATTACTTTATTTGTAATACTTACAATTGTTGTAACTTTCCTTTCTAAGTGTTATCATTATTATTAACTTTCTTTAGGTTTATCATGTTTACAATGTAGGAGTAGCTGTGTTAGATACACCACATTGTATCTTAACATATTGCTTTCTTTGCATTACGTTCAACATTGTTATATTTCATTACAGAATCAATATTCTAGATATTTATTGTACAATTCAGGTGGACATTTATGATTGGTTTGATTATAAACAGTAGCTGTGCCTCACACATTCCCTACTCTTATGTAATTAAGGCTTAAAAGGAAGAGTAACAGTGCTTATCTACACTTGACATTTATTTTGTTGGACAAATATATAGGTTCAAATGTTCCTAAGCTTCTTGTCTTCTGATGGCTTTTTAACTATTAATGATAAAGCAAAGTAGCCGATACATCAATTACTAATACATTCTCTTATTTTGTAGACTTTATGTAGTTTTTTATTAAGCTTAGTATATGAAAGTACAGATGTTTTATCTTAAAATTAAGAAGAAAATTCCAACATTACAAGTTAAAAGATAACTACTGAAATATTTGTGTCAGAAGTAACTGACCAAAGAGAGAAGTAATTTTCCTTAGAACAAGCCTAGGTTTCAGAACTTTACAAATGGACTCTAGTGCTCAAGTAATCACATTTACCATGTTCTTCCGGCAGATCATCATGTTCTGTCATTTACGATACTGAATCAATTTTCATAATAATCTTAGATGTGTATCTCAAAATTACAGGGTTTTATGTCTAAGTGCCTTCCACAAAACTTAAAAACTTTCAGTAATTAAATTCACTTTTAGTCAACAGCCTTTTTTATTAATGGAATTTCTTTTTTTTATGAAGATAAAACGTCTCTACTTTTATATGCCAACAAATTTTAAACTTGTGAATTAGTTACATTAACAACAGAGTACAGTACTCATTAGTAGTTACTAAGTAGTATTTTGAATATACAGAAAAGCATTTTTCAATGAGCTGGTACATTAGTACCATAGTATAGAAGTTATCAATGGTTGATATCTTAATAAGACTATATATTAGTTATTGATGAATTAGTAACCACAGAAAGTGGTACAGTAGTTATCTGTGGACTAGTGCCCCACACCCATTGAATATCTGAATATGTGATACTCTGTATTAAACTGGCAACAGTTTTTGAATTTATTTGAGCAGTTCAGAAACTACAAGTAAAAATGAATATATACACATTTACTAATATTTACTTATAATGGCTGGAGATGGCTTAAATGGGTAATGAAGAAAAACTTTAATATAAGTTTAACATGACAAAACCTTGTCGAAACATTGTACATTTGCTGTCATGTTAAAC